GATTCTGATGGATACATGCGATAGGCTATCGTTGAGCACCGGGCGGGCCGGGCCCAGCCCGGGTCGGGCCCACCCCGGGCTGCGCAAAAAAGCGGGCCGGGCTGGCCCGGCCCGACCCGGGCCATAGAAGGAAACTCTTGGCCCGAGCCCGCCCTCAAGGCGGGCTGGCCGTGCCCGGCCCGACCCGGGCTCTGCATGGCCCGACCCGGGCCAGCCCGGCCTGGCCCGGGTGCTGTCATAATCGCCCACAGGATGTATCTTTGGGCTGTTTCTGTTGTATTTTTGCGCTCCCATGCGGCCCGCCCGGCCCGCCTCTTATGATGCCCGGCCCGGGGCATTTTCGGGCGGGCCCTGGCCCACTTTCATGCTCATCGCTATCGCTGATAGCGTCACCTTTACTTTGATGATCCGTCGCCGTGGCAAGGTTGGTGCCATTGCTGAACCTGAACCCACAATAGTCGTGCATGACATTTTGCTCGTGCGGCATGAGCTCAACGAAGGAAACACAGCGGAAACTCCGTAGATCTGTGTGACGCACGCTGGCAACCAAGCCGAATGCCTCCGCGTCATGGTGGTGCCGGTGTGTGAGCCTCCATGGAACCCTTGCTGGAATGCACTACCATCACCAAGGATCCAGAAGACATGAGATTTATCAGCACAACAAATACAGGAAGATTACGTGGTGGGGGTCGAGTACGGGCCACTGATTGTTAAGTTCGTTTTGCAAGGATCCCAAATTGTTGCCCCCCATACTATGTACTATTAGGTTCTGCTACATTCAATTTTGAAACAGGAGCTACGGCGCAGCGATGCACGGCGCGGTTGGCCTGGCCGGCCCAGCGCCTAAGGAGGGGCGCCTTAGCTAAGAAAGAATAAGAGGAGAGTCTTGCAGCAGAAGAAAAAGGAGATAGGCTGGAGGGGGAAGCCCAGCTCTGGAGACGTAGATGAGAGAAGAGAGAAGAAGACTTTCAAAAAGATAGGATTAAAGACACCAAGGATAGAATAGGATGAGATTATAATACAAGATTTTGAGGTGGATATTAATGCTAGGAAGAAGGGATGGCGACTTGGGGGAAAACCGTATCGCCACTCTAGCATGGCATCTTGGCATACGCCTCGATGCCATGTCCTGCTGGATTCTAGTAACATCTAATCACTGACAAAGGGAAAGGGAGCTACCTAGGCAAAGGGCGGTTCCAACCGTTCGGGTATTCAAATGCACGCAGGCATGGCGAATCCCATCTTGCTACAATTTGCTCTACACAGCTCTATATCTAGCAGAACAAGTACATAGCACGGGGGTGAAACAAAAGGTTCGTCGGACGAACCTTGGGAGTCGACGAGCGGGACCCAGCGGACTGGAGAAGCCACGGCGAGACACGTCAGAAAGATGAGTAAGCTGAGCCGAATGAGGCGCTCCGCGCCGTCCGAAGTTGCCATCGAGGTGCAGCGATTCCAGGAAATGGTTGTTTATAATCGTTTGTGAACTTGTGCGCGTCACAAAGCCGAGCCTAATTCTACAGCCTAATATCTGTAGACGGTTAAACCAAAAAACTAGTGTTACCAGCAGACGAGGAATCCCAGAGGAAGCTACTAAGGGTGCGTTCCTGGTTCGTGGCAGGGCCACTGTAGATGGCAGCCTGCCACGAACACATAAAACGCCAGGTTGGTGTCAGGAATTTTGGCGCGCAAATACAGGTGCGTGATTGGGCAATGTCCCAAAAATTTCATGTCAATTCCACCAAAATCGTGTCGCGCGCGACTCGGGCAAAATGTTGGTGGCATGCGGTTTTCCCGCATGCCACCAACAGTGCCTGCTACAGTGGCCCTGCCACGAACCAGGAACGCACCCTAAGCTAGGAAATGAAGTGGAGAAGACAGCCGCAGCAGGGAGGTGAGGGTGGGAGTTGAGGGCGATGATCATCGCCCAGTTCCTAGCCAAAATTTCTTTTGCAGATCTCTTGCGTGGCTCCAACATCCCAACCAGGGCTGGTGACGTGGAATTAGCGAGTTGCGACCTCCCATTCAGCCGTGGATTGTGGTGTGGATCCCGACAGATGCGAATGGATTGTCAAGTTACCATTCTCTCGCGATTTCCAGGGTGACAAGTTTCTATGGTGGCGTGGCATGCCAGCAGGGCGTGTCCAGCTACCAAAAAATCCCGCCAGGTCTGCGACTTAGACGAATCAGGACAGCAGCTGACCCTGTTTGACGAACACCGACCTCTTCATTCTCTCTCGGGTTTTAAGTCTATCGAGAAGTATTACTGTACATAGTTTGCTCCGAAGGTAGTGTTAGCGCTGCTGGGGAATGGTTACACGGATTCCCAATCTGAGAGCGCACACTTCTTACGCTGGCAGGGAAGTCCAACCCTGATTGGGAAAAAACAGTCAACAAACAGACGATGACCGTGTGCCCAGACGGTCATCGTCCACATCTACCTGTTGATGTCAATTTATGGGCAAAAAACAATATACCCTCTCAGGAGGTATGCCATTTAGGGAGTCATCAACCCTAAACACCATGCGGCAAGGTGTTTAGAGTTGATCCTATCCATCGGGGATTATATATATTTTAGGCGACGCAGTTTTTGGAGGAATCAACGCTAAACACGGGAACCCGCCTGGTGTTTAGGGTTGATGTCTTCCCACTGGGTTTTTTTTTCTGACGGAAATTTGAGTGGGATCTATCCTAAACACCTGCCACATGGTGTTTAGGGCTGAGACCCCCCGATCTGTTATCGAATTCCTTACGAGCTTAATAACTGGATGCTCTCAGAAATTTGAAAATGCACGTAACTGTTCCCCGGCAGCGCTAACACAACCTTCAGAGAAACTTTTGTCCAGTAGTACTTCTCGATCGACTAAAAACCTTTCTCTCTCACAGTAACGGAACGAATCGATCGAAACCCTAATGGACCCTACTAGAGCAAGTAGCTATTGAAGAGGATTATTGGCACTAGCGACCAGCGATTTGGCGACCTGGCGACATAAAGAACTACTTACTGCTCAGCCCGTGACGTACTGCTCAGCCCGCGACCTGCCTTATCGCGACCTTAAATCGTGAAGTGCTCAAAAACGATATGGTAGAGTTGATAGAGTTCCATCGTGCGAATTTCAAGTTGGCTAGAAAATCGGCAAGATGGCACTTGCATGTGATGCCAATCCGTACTAGCTACAGGATGTCAGAACGTGGTAGAACATTCGTATTACGAAGGGGACATCACTTTCGCACCTCCTCCCCACTCCCCATCCTTCTTCGCCCTTCCACAATCCCTCCTGCGCGACGGCGCCGCCGCAAAAGGCACGAATGCGCAATTGACAGCAGGAGGCATCAGAGAAAGAAACGGCGCTCTATTCTGCCGGCCTCCCTCCCGCAGCTTCCTGCCAATTTCTTACTTTCCTGGCCATGATTCTTCCACCTGCTCGTTGGATAGTCTTAATAGAAACATAAACTTTCGCCCAGTCAGCGGTAGTAGCACTAACACTGTTGGCGGTCATCCCTAATGTTTCCTATTGGCGACGGCGAGTCGAGCGAGTGTCCCGTGCGTCGCCAACTGCTTTGCGAGTGCCGAAATTGTAGGTTGCGAGAGGCGGCCTCCCGAGCATCGCGGGCGTCGAAGCTGCACGAGCAGCTGGCGATGGCGAGTCAATATGGCGAGCAACGGCACCGTCATCATCATCGCCGCTTTTGACAACTCTCATAAGTCATCGACGCTGCTGAAAGGATAGCTCAATCCCTGCTCCTTGTTTCCTCCCTGCTCCTTTCCCCATGCTTGTTCCCTCCCTGCTCCTCACCAGATTTAGCTCCTTATCCTCATTCTGTACTTGTTGCGAGGCAAAATCCATTTGCCATGTACCCTTCCGGGCGGCCATTTCGTCGTCTTTGCCGTTGACCATTCTGCCCGATCAGGTGCGTCCTGCTCAGGGCACAATCGGTGTCCTGTTGAGGTGACGTATGGCTGGGTGCTGCATGGCTGGGTGCAATTCCTCGTGTCGTTACCACTTTAGCCAAACCGAACCTGAGCCGACACAGTTTGCACCGGAACCAGCTCCTCGTTGAGTCTGCTGTGACAACATTCTACAATGGAATTCGAACACTACCTTCCATCCAACCTCCACACTAGCATCCTAGGTCCTAGAATCGCATACTATACTCGTGCATCATTCGCGAACCATTGGCCTCACAATGAGAGAATGCTGGAACTCCCCGCTGTTTTAGTGCGTGATTTAGTTGATTTAGTACGTGCACGTCCAATACATTCTTACTTTCCTCCGCGCGTATCGAGAGAAATGGTCCACCACCAAACATCTTCGCCTTACTATCAGTTCCGCTGCCTTTTCTAATCGCGAGGTCAGTCGCCAATTCTGCATTCTTTTTCCTCATCAGTTTCTCTTCATGCCACTAGAATTCACTGTTTTCGCGGAACATTCGTGTGAGCTAAGCCCCGCTATCAGACAAGCTCCCGACCAGCAGTCCGCCATGCGAGTCGAGCTCGATTCATATGCTAGATTCTGATTGTCACGACTGTTTCCGTGAAACACTTTTGTGAGCTTAACTCAGTAATCTCTGTCTCGCTGTGATTCGAGTTCGTTACTTACTACAAAATCATCGAGCTCCCACCCCCCACTCCTCCCATGCAGGCCATCGAGCCCCTCAAGGAGCGTCGCGACATGACGGCGCAGGAGGTGCGATCACGCATGTGCACCAGCCGACCAGCAGGCTCAAGAAACTTCTTCTAGTCTGCATTTCGATCCCTGCATCGCAAAATGGTGGTGTACGAGGAGCGCACGCTCTCGCCATATCTGCCTGTTATTGTTGCTCATGTCCGCCATTGTCGGTCTTCCTCGTTCTCGCGCTTAGAACACCTCCCTTCTGCCCTCAACTCGATTTCCCCCCTTCCCCCCACCCCCTACCCTGCCGCGCACCAACCTCGCCGCACCAATCTCCGTGCGCCTGCCGCACGTAACGGTGCATGCAGACGCGGCTGGCGCTGATGATCAAACCCGCGCGAGACGGAGCGGCAGTGGCAGATGGGAATAGAGAATGAGAGCGGGTTCTCCCGCGAAGAGACCGCCGATGCCTTCCTCCAGGTGCGGTTGAGGGACAGGGAGACGTGGGCGTGGGGAAAGGGAGATGTGGGGCCAGAGAGAGGGCTGGGAGATGGCTAGGAGAGGGGAGTGGGGAGGGGGGGAAGGGGGGAGGAGGGGCTAGAAGAGGGGGGGAAAAGGAGGAAGGTATGGAGGTGCGAGTCGCACTCATGCGAGCCGCGCTCGATATGGTGAGGTAAGGTTCCAATTGTCAATTACTGTTTCCGCAACGCTTTTGCCAGCTTAGCCCAGTTGTTGCTGTCTTCTCTGTACATCTGACTTAGTTACATACTACAGAGTCAGGTGAGCTACTACCCCCCAGTCCTCTCATGCAGACCATCCAGCTGCCAAGGAGCATCGCGGCATGATGGTGCAGCAGGTGCGTCCAGTAGTCTCGAGAAACTATTTGGAGTCTGTATTTTGTTCCCTAGCATTCATCTGAAATGGCGGTGTAGGAGGAGCACGCGCTCTCGCTGTGTTTGTCTGTCATTGTTGGTCACGTCAGACATTGTCGGCCCGTGCCTTTCGTTATCCGTCGCTGTCCGTCCGTCCTTGGTCGTCATTCCCCGTTTTTGTTGCTCGCGCGCTCCGCTCAATTCCCCTTCTTTTCTCGCTTCGATCTTCCCCCTTCCCCCCCCCCCCTCGGTCTTCCCCCTTTCCCCCGGTTTTCTCCCTCCCTCCTCCCCTCCCCCCCGTTCTCTACTGCCGCGCACCAATCTCCGTGCGCCTGTTGCGAGTAAAGGTGCTTGCAGATATGGCTGGTTCTGATGGCATGATGATCTAGGAGGCCGCACGAGGCGGAGCGGCGGTGGCAGATGGGCATGGAGAGTGAGAGCGGGTGGTCCCGCTGCAAGATTGCAGACGCCTTCCTCGAGGTGCGGGCGAGGCAGGGGGACGTGGCTGTGGGAAAGGGGAGATGTGGGGGCAGGGAGAGTGTTGGGAGAGGACTGGGGGAGGGGAGGGTGAAGGGGGAAAGAGGCCATGGAGGACGAAAGCACGTGCTTCCGCGGCGAGATCGCGGACGCCTTCCTCAAGGTGCGCCAGGGGCGAGGGGAGAGTCGCGCGGGGATAGTTGTGGGGAGGGCGGGGAAAGGTGGGGCGAGGGGAGAAAGAAGGGGAGGGAAGGGGGCTTTGGTTGGTTTTTTTTTTTTAGACGTACAAGCCTGTGTTGACAACTGCGTGCCAGCAGACCGCATGGTGCCTGTTTTTTGAGAATTCTCAAAAACCAGCAGACCGTATGGTGCCTCTGTTCCCTCTCCCCCGTGCTCTTTCCGCCCGTCTCCTCACCCAGCCACATGCCGTGTATGAGGACCACATGCCAGCAGACCGCATGGTGCTGTGTAAGCTGGTCATAACTTGAAGCCATTCTTCCCCCTTTCTCCCAGCCCCGCTTCTCCAAATCCCCCCCTCCTCCCCAACGAGGTGTGTGAGGGCTGTGTGCCAGCAATAGCAGATCGATCGCATGGTGCAGCGCAAGCTGGTTATAAGTCGTTCCGCCTTCCCCCTCTCCCCTCTCCCCCTCTAGCAGGCCGCATGCTGCTGCGCAAGCTGGCACAGGACATGGGCGAGCGGCGCGCCTGCAGTTGAGTGAGCCATGGGATACGGGATGATTGTGGGGATGATACCTAAGCAGTGGGGGGGCGGGGAGGAGGGGAAGTTGGGGTTAGGGAAACGGGTGGATAAAGGGTGCTGGCGCAGGACATGCGCGACACGGTGGCCGCACCTGTGCGTGAGTGAGGGCAGGGGACGAGGGGATGGGAATGATATCGCAGGGTTCACAGGAGTGGGGGCATAAAGGGATGTGGGGGTTGTGAACGGCGATTGCTCGGTCAAAAGGGTGACGGTTAAGACGCAAAATGGGAAAGAGGGGTGGCCCCACTCGCAAGTTACTGGGACCACCATGCAAATGCGAGGGTGACTCATGGGACAAGGGATGATTGTGGGACTAACTCTGTTTAGCGACGGGGGGACAAGGAGGAGGGGAAGAAGGATTAGGGGAGACGGGGGGATGAAGGGTGCCGGGGCAGGACATGCGCGAGTGGTCGCGCCTACGTGTGACTGAGGGCAGGGGACGAGGGCATAGGCAGGATAATGAAAGGTTAACAGGCGTTGGGGCATAAGGGGATATGGGGGTCGTAAGAGGCGATTGCTCGGTTTCTAAACCCAGGTCGAAGAAGCAAAAACTGGGAAACTTCCCCTTTGTTCTCTGCCACCCCACTCCCCCGACCATCTACTCCCTCACCCGGCCCTTGCCTGGAGGAGCCAGCTCCCTCAGGAGGCAGTGGGATTCGGTTGCTAGTGCACCCTCCCTTAAGCCTGCCTCTTCATGAGCCAGGTCTCCACATAAGTGCAACCCCCCAGGCCTGGTGGCGTCGACCAGCATGTGCGCAGGGGCCCAAGAGCTTTCATAGAGAGGCACAGCCTGTTCAGGCAAGGGGGAAACCAGGGGAGCGTTTGTCTGGGTCAGGTAGGTACAGGACCTGCAGCGGGTAGGCTCGTTTGCAGCTGGCGGGTGGGGTGAGTGCATGCCGAGGAGCAGGCACACCAGCGTTGAGACGTCTCAAACCACCCCCACACTTTCCCCTCTGTGCCACTGCCACACTTTCCCCTCTGTGCCACTGCCACACTTTCCCCTCTGTGTGAGGACTGTAGGCCAGCAGACCGCATGGTGATGCGCAAGCTGCTTATTACTTGGAGTCGTCCCCCCTCCCCCCTTCTCCCCGCTTCCCCAAACCCACCACCCCCACCCCACCCACCCCCGAGGTGCCCCATCCGCCCCATCCACCCCATCCAGAAGCCGCCTAATTTTCCAGTCGACTCGAAAATTGGTTCTGGTGAAGCCGCTCCTAATCTCTATCACCTTTGGCTGAACCTGCAGCTACTAAGTTAGTTCCATGCTTCAATTTTTCGCCTGTCTAGACACCACTGCCGCACTCAATTCACCCCATCCTCCATTTTCATGTGTTCCCTCTGCCTCCCTTCTCTCCCCAATCGCCCCTATCCCTCTTCTCTGTCTTCTCTCCCATGTAAGACAGTCCAAAGCATGGCATGCACCCACAGTCACCGCTTTGCACCATGCTTGTCTCCCGAACCTTTCTATGTGCATCCGAACCTGTCTAGACCCTCTCCTGCACCACACTATCTTGCCTTCACATCCTGAAAACTGTTCCACGCCCGCATACGTCTCTCCTTGCTCAAATCTGCTTTCATCTCTTTGAAGTTCAAAAGTTTGAACCCTCCCTATATCCTGCAGGGTACCACCAGAAGCTGCCGTTACACCCTCTATTCCAGAAAGAAGTCTGCATGCTCCTCTATGAACAAGCGGATGCATACCCAGACCCGATGCACAAATCTGTTTTGCTTGAGATAATGTACAGATTACTCCAACAGCTGCTCATCTTACGTACATGCCGTAGGCATGGCTGGAGCAAGGTACAATTCCGATCCAGTATTGTATACGAAAACATGTGTACCAAATAGGGTAATTCTCCGTCAGAATCTGCTTGCAATACTCAAGATGTGATCGTCTGGTGCCACTACAATGGGTCTGCCACTAGAATGGACAATTACCAGTAGGTCTGTCAATGATATGCCAAAATTACGTGTAGTACATCCACCGATATGACGTATGTCCCCCAGGAAAGCGCAGCATGCCTTCATTGTCGTGCAACTTGTCACACCCTGTAAAAGCCACACGGTCCAGCAGCTCCAGCTTGCCCACATCGCCAGGCAGCGCCTCCAGCTGCTTGCACCCCTCCAAGTCGAGCGCTTGCAGCCGGCTGAGGCGTGCAAAGTTGGGAGGGAGGGATGTGATGGCGGCCTTGTGCACGGTCAGCTCGCGCAGGCATGCCAGCTGCGTGAGAGAGGCAGGGAGATGCGCGAGCGCTAAGCAGTTGGACATAATCAGCTTGCACAGTCGGGACAGTGCCCTGATGGAATTGGGAAGCGCATGCAGTTTAGGAGCGTTGATCTCCAGGTTTGTGAGCTTCTGAAGAGCTGCGATGGTTGACGGGATCTCCGTCAGCTCAGGCAAGCATATCTCCAGCTGACGCAGCTCCTGCAGCGTCGAGGTGGAGAAGTCTGGAAGCTTCACGACTCCGGTGCTCACGAGTGCGAGGGTGCGAAGACGAGGCAGGTCGGCCAATGGGAATGGGAGCTCGCCCTCACATGCCAACACCAGACGCAAGTGCTCCAATGAAGACAAGCTTCTGGACAAAGCGGAGGGGAAAATCACCATGCTCAAACTGACTGACTTGAGGCTGGAAAGAGCATAGATACCCGGCAGATGGGTGACCTCCGGATAGGTCCCCAGCCTGAGCGTTTCCAGCGACCCCGGCAAGAACTCTGGAGCCTTTCTCAGCAGCGCACAGCCGGTCAGCTCCAGCTGCTTCAGTGTTGACAAATGCATGAGGCTCGTGGGGACTGAGAACAGGCTGCTGCACTTGTCCACCACTAGCACCTCTAGGTTCAGTAGGGCTGACACGGACTCGGGGAGCCTCTGGATCCGAGAGCAGGACAGCACATACAGCTCCCGCAGGCGTGTCAACTCCCCCATGGCCTCTGGCAGCTCGGCCAGCTCACACTTATGCAGCTCGAGCCTTGTGAGTGAAGCGAGCCGGGTGAAGGAGGGCGGAAGCAGATGTCGTGCCCTGTACGATTTCAGGTAGAGCGTGTGGAGGTTGGTGAGGCCTCCGATGTCGTCAGGGAGAATGAGCAAGGGGGAATTCGCGAGGCACAGGGTCTTGAGCGCTGTGAGGGCGCTCAGCGGGTCTGGTAGCTCGCGCAGATACGCACAGTCCGTGACTATCAGCGTCTCAAGAGACTGCAGCCGGCTGCACGAGCCAGGGAAATGGGTGTTCAGATTGTGCAGCACGAGCGTTGTCAGCATGGGCATCTGGCCGAAGCTGTCCGGCAGTCCGAGGACCGTGCAGTTTTCGAGCTTCAAGGTGCGCAGGCGGGTCAGCGCGGTGGCCTGCTCGGGTACGTCGAAGAAGGTACCGCTCGCATCGATGCTCAGCTCGTGGAGACACGGCATGCGATGGCAGGTGTCGTCCAGGACAGTGTGGAAGTCGTCGCACTGGAAAATCGCCAACGCTCGAGCAGGCTGCACGGTGACTCGGGAGGAAACATCTCATCGAACGGCGGGCAGGCTTTCCCGAGATTCAGCGACTTGAGCGAAGATAGGCGTGCGAATGAGAAGGGAGGAGAGGCGGAGTGGTATTGCCAAGGAGAGACGTCTTCTGGCACGGAGAGATGCGTGAGGCGTGGCAGGTGCGCGAGGTGCTCCAGGGTCTGATAGTCCCCCACCGAGTCGATCCAGAGCAATGTGAGAGCGCTCAAGTTCTTGACTTTTGGAGTTGTTACCACGGGCAGATCGGCAACTGTGAGGGATCGGAGATGCACGAGCTTGAAGAGCGAAGAAGGTAACCGGAACTCGCAGTGCAGGCAGGCCAGCGAGAGGTGCTCCAGCCGCGTGCACCGGCGGAAGAACACGTCGAAGCCGGCTGGCGTGAGAAAGGTCTCCCCCGCCTGGTCGGACTCAGGGTTCTCCACTATCGGCCTTCCGAGGTGGAACGCCGTCAGATTCGGGCAGCACGCGGCGAGGCGAGCTAGGAAAGTGTCGTCGATGGCTTGCGCGCTTCCGTCGCTGAGATGGAGGTGCGTGAGCTTGGGGAAGCAATCCACCGCTGCCGCGAGATCCTTGAGAGACACGGCGCGGTTCGACTTGACAAGGAGCGTGGACACGTGGCGCCGAGCCAGGCAGCGCCAGCGACGGCAAGTCGACGCGATGAGAAGATTGTACGCGGCGTCGGCGAATGCTGGGGGAAGAGGAGGAGCTGGAAACATGGTCTCGCTCTGCTGGTAGCATGCCTCGTCTGGATCCTCGCTATTGAACCTCGGGGGAGGCCGCACGGCGGCCCACACATCCTCATCGAAAGGCTCGCGAGAGAAGAGACGCTTGGAGGGCCAGAAAACGGCAATGAGTAGCTCCTCAGGAAGGCTATTGATATGCAAACACGCCATAGTACCTCAGGTTCTAGGTATGGTTGTAGAAATGTTGGAAAAGAAGACCTTAGCAGATGATGGCTGCGGCAGCTATCTCCTCTCCTTGCCCTCTCTTCACTCGTCTACGTTCTCTGCTCAGCCACGTATTCCCCGCAACGAAGGGCTCGGAGCCTGGGAGATGGCAAGTTAGGACGGAAGCAATTGGGGCGTGCTCCAAAACCAACGCAACCCCCAACAGCTTGTGGTAACAGAAATACAGCTGACACATGGGAGAAGCCCAAGGCGGGTCTTTCCATAAGCGATGACCCTTTGGTTTTCAAATCACTCCGCGAAGGTTTCGCTGGTATTGAGTTTAGGTAACCCATGCAAAAGTGTCGGTTCATGTCTCAGTGACGAAATGATCCTTTGTAACAACTGGGGCGATGTCTTCGACTCTCGTGTGTGGAAACCCGTCCAGCGCACAAAATACTGAATGGTTTGATTTCGAGTGCACTTGGTTTCCTTACAAGGTTGGCGTAGCACGTAGTTCCACCTTTCCAAGCTTTTTTTCAGGACACACGTGTCGCTTCTTCAGTAAAATTCGCGACGACGAGAGTTTTTCTAGGCGTATTACCATAAGCGAGGGTGATGGCGACTTGATTTTTAGGTTGCGTAGCAACCCTTTATATTTGGTTTCACATTTTGGGGATATCATTTCAAGAGTGTATTTACGCACTTTTTGGAGCACCTGTTTTGAATGTTTTGAGACTGTTCAAACGGATGCCTCAAATAATGGATAAAAATCACCCTTGAATGACATCCCCATATGTAAAACCAAATACTGGAACGCACGTACGTATCATGTTGAAACCATGAACTTGCTCGACCGTCCCAACCTCGTCGATAAATACGGCGGATCGTACGGCCGAGCATAAAATTCTGGCATCAACATGAACAAATGAACAACAAGGTATGAGGTAGAATGGATGCTTAAAAATGAATATTAAAATGCATCATGCAGCAATAGAGGTTGATGGGGTTGTTGAAACAGCGGAAACCCGCTGCCCCAAAGACGATTAACAACCTTTAATTGCATACATAACACACAATAACACCACACTTTGAAACACAAATCCCACAAACACGAATGCAATCGCACGTAAAAAATGTACAACACCGCGTAACGGTTATGAATGGATCGAAGAGCAACCGCACAGTGAAACAAACACAACGAACAGACATGCACACACACGCAAACAAGCACAGAGAAATACAGATACCGTAATAAACACACAACCGTCATAAATAAAATTCAGAATAAGTAATTCCTAACCTATCCCACCTTACCCTCGCTACAACCCTCCCTCCCTCGTTCCCTCATCTCCATCCCACTCCCCCATCTCCCTTCTCAGCTCACGCACGCGCCCTGCACAAAGCTGTTGAGATAGAGGCGAGGAAATGAGTACACTATGAAATGAAACAAGTACAAGTACCAACCCTAATTGGGTTGTACCCCCTATGGGCTACCCCACTACAGCCTAAATATATGCATCAGTAATATAATCATCTGACACACCCCCATAGGCAAAGTGGGGGAGAGCAAGGGGTCACAAGACCAGTCAAGCAAAGCAAAGCAAAGCAAATCAAAGCAAGCTTAGGGTGGATCTCAAGGATACCACACAAATTCCGAGCACAAGGTCAAGGCCACAAGGCCAGTTCACATGCAGCAGAGCATATATATATATATAACAGTGCTAAACAAGCAAGAGCAAGGATATATATATGCAGCAGTACAAGCAAGGTCAAGAGGTAAGCAAGTGAGGCCCAGTGGGCACAAGGCCTAGCAGAGTGCAAAAGCGCTGATGGTCACGAGGCGGAAGTGCCTTGGTGAACACATCAGCAGTGTTGGCCTCAGTGGCCACGAAACGCAGGCGAAGCTGACCACGCTGCTGCAGCTCTCGAGCAAGGAAGTAGCGCAGAGCAATGTGCTTCGTCCTGTGCTCCAGTCTGTGCTCCTCACACAAGGCAATGGTTGCCTTGTTGTCGACGTACAGCACTGGAGGAGAACGAGGCCGCTCTCCAAGGTCAGTCAGCAGGTAGGTGAGCCAGCGAAGCTCCTGGGCAGCCATGGCCGTGGCGTAGATCTCAGCCTCACAGCTGGAGCTGAGAACCGAAGAAGAGCGAGTAGAGCGCCAAGAGACAGAGCCAGAGCCAAGACTGAAGGTGTAACCCTGAGACGACCTCTGAGTAGCCTGGTCGTCAGCCCAAGAAGCGTCTGAGTGCCCAGTGAGCACAGGCCGCTCACGCCCTCCAAGCACTAGCCCCATGCCCGACGTAATGCACAAGTAGCGCAACACCCTCTTAGCTGCATCCATGTGCTCCTTCCGGTGACGGCCGGGAGCAACAGAGCGTGCTAAGATGCTGAGAGGGTATGCGAGGTCAGGTCGAGTGCAAGTCATCAGGTACATGAGGCAGCCCACAAGCTCTGGATACGGACCACTCGACTCTACGGACTCATCCGAAGGCAGAGCTGAAAGCGAGTGTCCCGTAGGCAGAGGAATGGACTGAGGCGAGGAGTACGTGAAGCCAAAGCGCTGAAGGACCTGCTGCACCATGTGTGACTGAGTCAGGGTAATGGTGCGGCGTGCTCTGTCCCGGGTGATCCGCAAGCCAAGATAGCTTGTCAGTTCACCCAGGTCTGTGCACGTGTGTCTCTTCTGCAGCTCGGACTTCACGTGGGCGAGTGCGGCAGTGTCCGCAGTGGCAAAGACCAAGTCGTCGACGTACACGAGGATGTAGAAAGGCGGCAGCGAGGTGTCGGTGCGCAGAAACAGCGACGGGTCAGCAGTAGAAGGAGCAAACCCAAGAGCCGCAAGTATAGTCCTCAGTGTGTCGTGCCACTCACGCGGCGCCTGGCGGAGACCGTAGACTGGCCGCCGGAGGCTCCACTGGGTACCAGGAGGGAACGACCCAGTGAAGCCAGGAGGGCGGCGCAGCCAGATCTCCTCGTGCAGGCGGCCCTGCAGGAAAGCAGTGCTGAAGTCAACAGAGTGTAGCTCGTAGTCACACTGAGCAGCGACATGAAGTAGAACCCGAAGAGTGGTCATCTTCGGGGTCGGGGAGAAGGTCTGAAAGAAGTCAACTCCCTGTCGCTGACTGAAGCCACGAGCCACGTAGCGCGCCTTGAAGACAGGCGGAGAACACGGCGGCCGCTTCACCCTGAAGATCCACATGCCACTGACAATGTTCGCCCCAGGAGGGGGAACAGCGTCAACGTAGGTGCCTGTGGACTTCCAGGAAGCCATCTCTGCGTCCATGGCTGACTGCCACTGAGAGGAGTAGGGACCGGCCATCGCCTCTGCGTAAGAGCGTGGAGTCGGGATGTCTAGAGCATCCGGGTCTCCCTCAGGGGCAACAAGCATGGGCACGAGATGGGGCAAAGCGGCGGCAAAGCACTGGAACTCCTCCTGCCTGTCCTCAAGGACGTCCGTGCCAAGAGCACAGTCACCCCCGACGGACGGAGGACAGGCAGACGCAGACGCAGCAGACGCAGACTCAGCAGACTTAGCAGACTCAGCAACAAGACTGGCAGCGTAGTCCAGACGACACGCAGCAGCAAAGTCGACCAGCTCAGCAACTATGGCAGACGCAACAGCGGACTCAAAGGAAGGGTCAGTGACAAGAGAAGCAAGAAGACGCGTGACAGTAGGACTGGCAGCACGGTGAGAGTCCGACTCCGGGTCGGCAAGTATAGGAAGAGAAGACCGAGGAGGAGAAGGCAAAGGGGCACGCAGAGGAGCAGTGGACGGACGCAGAGACATCTGGTGCGTGCCAGGGACAGGAGGAGGACGCTGACGCGAACCGCGACCACTAGGGCGAGCAGCTCGGACTGGCGACGCAGGGCGGGACGCAGGCTCACGACGCTCAGCAAGACCTCCAGTAGGACCAGCGTAGGGAGAAGAAGAAGGCAGGGGAGAGGCGGGCTGTAACTGTGACTGTGACGGGACAGGCTGCGGACACTCCACGGGAGGAGAAGGACCAGTGGAAGGCGGGAGACCAAGAACCTACTCAAGAAGCGGAACGAAGTACGGCCGAGGCCGCGCAGCACCGCCAGAGAGAGCAGGGACAGCACCAACACCTCCAGAGGCAGCACCAGCACCAGTAGCAGTTCCAAGTCCAGCACCACCAGCAGCTGCAGAAGTACCCGCAGTAGGACCGACAGCCGTAGCCTCAGCGCCAGCACCCGCAGCAGCTCCAGCTCCAGAGGCACCCCTGGGCCCGGCAGCCCAAGTACCCTCAGTACGAGCACCTCCGGGACCCGTGGTACCAGCTCCCTCGGCAGCAACGGAACCTCCAGCATCCGCAGTAACCCCAGCTCCAGCAGCTCGCCTCCAGCGCCGGGCAAACCACTCACGCAGCTCCAGAGGAGAGAACGGCTCGCGGCGCGAGGAACGGTCTGGAGAACCACCAGGAACAGAAGCAGCAGGCGCAGCACTCCCAGACGCAGTACCTCCAGGCTCAGCACTCCCAGGCACAGCACCCCCAGGCTCAGCACCCCCAGGCTCAGCACCCCCAGTCTCAGCACCCCCAGGCTCAGTACCCCCAGGCTTAGCACCCCCAGGCTCAGCACCCCCAGTCTCAGCACCCCCAGGCTCAGCGCCCCCAGTCTCAGCACCCCCAGGCTCAGCACCCGCAGCAGCACCAGAGTCACCAGTGACCTCGACAGGCTTGACCGCGTCTACTTGAGACACACCTGAAGGGGCAGGACCCTGAGGGGGGAGGGGGTCTACCGGGGGGGGACCTGGGACCAGGAAGAGGGGCGGGGGGGGAAGGGACGGAGTGCGGTAGGGGAAGAGCCGGTAGAAGGGAACCGACTCGTCGAACGTGACGTCCTGGGAGGACAGAACACGACGAGAGGTGGGGTGGTAAAACTGCCACCCAGGTGCGTCAGGGGGGAAACCCAGGAAGACGCAAGGAGCAGCACGAGGGGACAGCTTGTCCGCAGACAAGTCGCGGACAAACGCCCGAGATCCCCAGAC